GAGAGAGAGAGAGAGAGAGAGAGAGAGGGAGAGAGATTACTTCCTGTACTTCGATGGGCGGCGAGCTTGGGGAACCCGCAGACGAGGAGCCCTGCGAGGTTCGCTTCTTCTTCCTCTGCATGAAGTATAGATCATCAAACTCGAGGTCACCGATCGACGACACCTTCTCCTCTTTGAGCGACTCGAGCTCAGAGATCTCCGCCAGCATCACCTTCTCTTGTTCTTGAAGCTGCTTGATGTAATCGATGGCGTCTTTTATGATCGATGCCTTATCCATCTGAACTCCCAGCAATCAGTCACTCCAATAGCAGGAACACTTGGACCGAAGACACAGACCTTGGTTACGTACCTTGGTGATGTTGGGGACGACACTTCGGAGCGCGTAAAGCTTTTCGTTCAGCTTCTTCCGCCGATTCCTCTCCATGGCAATGTTCTTGGCGGTGGTGGAGGACGTGGTGCCTTCGGGGGAACTCGAATCATAGTAGCCACCTGAAATGGCCTCCTCGAAGCCCCAACTGCATCAGGAGAAAACCCACAGGAAACCTTGCTCAGATCAGAAGAAAGAAAGATTCACCATTCATGCGGGCAACTGTTCGAGTCAGTCAAATTCATCTGGAAGAAGGAACAAGAGAAGCAACACAAGCCATAAGGCTCTTATGCTGCCTGCTACTTATAATAAACATGATGGATTCTCTCGCTGGATTCTGATATGTTGGGATGAATCCTCTCTCTATCTCGATCAAGAGAGTGAAACTAAACGCAGGAAAGAAGAGGAGATCAAGGCCAGGCGGCTTGCTTGATCAGGAAGGGAAGGGATTGGCAAGCCGGGAGCAGAAAGGGAGTCGAAAGTTGGTCAGCGAAGAACCTCTCCAGCTCCTCCGAGTCGATGAACCTCTTGGTTTCCCAGTAGAGGCTGTACTCCGCCTCCATGTCCTCCATTGATCGTAGCAGTGGTATCTGCCGCCGCCGCCGCCGCCGCCGCCGCTGTTAGCTAGTTGGGGGGAGGGAGAGAGGAGCTTCGCAGGTTGCCCGGAGACCGGGAGCGAGAGTTCCATTATATAGAGCGAGGGAGGTCGAGGAAGAAGAGATCGAACGAAGAGGGGGGTGGTGTGCGCTCGCTCTATGGCGATGATGGAGTCCGATAACCCAAACAGATCCGATCCGAATGCGACCTAAAGTCTACCCACGTACCTTTGGACTATGTTGGATATGTAAGCCTATCGGATTGGATTCGGAACCGAATCTTATGAGACCGGATTTGGATATCACGTGGATCCAAGTAGATTGATATACCAAAATACGAGTCATAGATGCGATTTGATTGGTTGTGGTCGTTGAGACGAGGATGCAGTGGCACGACTTATTATTGGACCTCAAATCTACAGCGACAATTGGAGCTGTGATGAGTCGTTTATCCTAAAGTTGAGGTCGTCGGTGTCGGTGGTGCTCAGACAACTCTTTTATTATAGATTTATACTTATCAAGTCCGACAACTGCACAATAATTTCGAAATAAAAATATAAGCTAAGAATCAGAAGGTTTCACACCCAAAATATGATAAATATAATATTTTAATAAAAAGAATAAGAATAGGTGGGAGAGAACATCAAAGGCTACTCATCGATCTAGTTCGATCTATTAATCTCTCTGGTCGATGAATTTTAATAAATAACAATCCATCGAGTTACTATCTATTTTTTGTATTAACAGTGATACATATAGTAGGTCGATAATCTCAAGAGCGATTGTCGTATGGAGATCAAATTATAGTGACAACGAACTTTACTGTGTAGTCGTACATTAGTCGATGTCTATCTTTATAATCTAGTAGTGATACATGTGGTAGGCCGATAATCTCGATAATGAGTGATCGTTATGTAGAAGCAAAACTATTAAAAAATAAAATATTGATATCCAACATTAATGTGTAGGGTAGGCTTGAAAACCACAAGCACCACTCAAATGAAATTATTGCAGGATATAAACGGATGCACATATCTATCTGAACCCACATGAACGTGAGCTTCATAATGTTCTGAGTTCAAAACATTTTCAATTAATATGACTCTTTTGTTATCACATTCTCAAGGTTTGCTGCCGCACAGGTGATCACATAAAAGAAGAAGAAGAAGAAAATATGATAAAGCAGCAGCAGTTTAATCATGTAGCTTCCATAACTCCACGAAGATTTGCACCATCTTCTTGCTCGAGGACGCTGACCGTCGGTGAACAAACATGCCGTGGCTGAGGAGTCAGCACGGCCTGATCCACGGATCGATGTCAGGAGTCTTCTATCGTCTGAGCTAGATGCCGAGGTCGATCGAGCCCTCGTGACGGAGTGTTGATCAGTGTTCCTCGGTCCTGGTCCTGGTTGATAGCTCATCGTGGGGACGTCGGTCGGCGACTTCGAAGGTTGAGACGCTCGCAGGTCATGGGTGACCGCTTTCCTACAAAATTGACCTTTGTCGGGTGATTCCCGACTTTGGCCCCTCCGACGAGCAAGTCAGTGGAGTGTTCAATTATTTTTTGCCCCCCTGGCCCGGATGCCGGCCCGAGGTCTTTATACTGCTGTACGAGGGTCGGTCGTACGTGGGTTAACATGATGGACGTATCAAATAGCGCTTTGATATGGATTCTGACTTAGCGTGTGGGGGTATTCCCCTTGCTGATTCTCGGGTTGGCGTGGTGGACGTACAAAATAGTGCCTCGGTACGGATTCTGACTTGGCGTGTGAGGGCGGCACCATCCCGCGATTACCAGGATGAGACGTGCCAAGCAGCGCCTTGGTACTGTACGAGGGTCGGTTGTACGTGGGTTGGCGTGGTGGACGTACCAAACAGTGCCTCGGTATGGATTCTGACATGGCATGTCTTTGGACCCAAAATATACCTTATCACTTTCCTCCTCCT